GGAGTAGGGAGGGCAGGGATGTGGTAGGCAGTACTTTCCCTTCTCTGTGGGGTAAATGCTGCCACCATGGCTGGCTTCAAGCTACCAGGGTGATGTCACTGAACGGCGGCGTTGTGAAGAGATGCACGTAGCACACTGTTATGTGGTATTTCCACCATAGAAATACAATAGATGTCAGTAACCTCAAGAGCGTAGATAGTAAAATGTACTGCAATAATCAGAAAGTGATGAATTTTGAGTATTAACCTGTCTTTAATATAGTGTATTTAGTTACAGGTTTTTATAATTTATTGGTAATTTTTAATGATGGCTGTGTTTAACAACCAGCTCATAAAATTCCTGCAAATTTAACAGCCTATTCTTGGGCTGCTGCAAGCCAGCTCCAGCACACCACTGGTATTCTGGGCACCTCCAGGTGGGACTGAACCAACCAGCTACCTGCCTAGTCCTGCCTTCACCAAGACGTGTATTAGCCCTGCAGAGTAGTTAAAAGCCCAGCTCTCCCCTTACCAGAGATCAGAGTTCTTTCTAATAGGAGATTCTGTGAGTCCCACTCAGCAGAATTTTAGCAGCTTTATGGGCTTGTTCCCTCTGATCTCAGGGCTGCCATCCCTGCCAGGTCCAGATGGTGCTGCCGGACTATTAGAGTTGCCTGAGCGGACCCCCGGCCTTCTGCACTCTCCTACCCTCTGTTTGACAGATTTAATTCAAGGCCCTGGCACCTCCTCCTTCCATTTGATGCAAAGCCAGCAAACCTAATACGGGAAGAGCCAAAGAAACCAGGTGCTAAATCACCCAAGGTCAGGCTGCTCATCAGCTTTCCAGCCTCCCAGTTGTTGGAGGCAGCTATTCCTCCCAGACTTTTCTAAGCCAAATACACCCCCTATATCTTACACTATAGCACTATAGAATCTCAAGGCGGGATGGGACCTTCCAGTCATTAAGTCTAAGCCACAGCATGCTTGAGCAGCCGCCAGCCCTCCCCACCTTCCCGGCATCTCTTTTCTCCAGCTGTAAAGCTGCTGTCTGCCAGCTTTTATCCCTTGGCATTGAGCCATGATCCACAGGCAGGCACCGTTTGATAGCTGACAGCGGAGGAAGCCAAAGGAGAGGAACCTGCTGAAAGCCAGGCATATGGTTAAGTGCTTTACATCCATGATTGTATTTGTCACATTTATAGGTGATGAAACAAAAGTTTAGCAAGATTAAGTGACTTTCCCTCGGTCACAGAAGCTGTAAGTTAATGAGTCAGCATCTGAACTGGGACTGTCTAGCTCAAACTGGCACCATTTCCACGAGTCTGCATTGACTTCTATAAAGTGGGACGACTCCGACAGCTAGTGGTGAATGTAGGTGTTGGGATGATTTGGCTAGTGTGGTGGGGATGAAAAATGTATCACCTTAAGAGATGACACTCAAGTTTCCTTTGAGGAGGGAGCCATCTTTGTCCGGGAAAATGCCTTTAGTAAGCCACCCATGGTAGAAGGTGAAATCATGAAGGAAAGGGTGTTGGCAGGAACCAATTAAGAATAGGAATGGCGATACTGCTGAGCATGAAAGCATAAATGGATTTGCTTTCTCCCAAAAAGGGAGACAGGTAGCATGTAGAGTGGAAGGTGAATGGGTTCCTCTACAGTGTATCGCAAGAGCATCTTATGAATGGGGGTGCCGTGTCTTCATTGCTGGGACATCTTCCACTTCCTCCCACATCATTGAAATACACAGGCACATGTGCATGCACACGCATGGACTCATTTGGGTTTTGGTATGCGTGGGAATGGGGGAGGGAACTGAGCTTCCTGTCTCAGCCGATGCAGAAGACAGATGACACACCACTGATGCTTAAAATGAGGTAGCAGAATTCTGGACTCAGCAGTGACTGCCCAAATATAAGCCCCTTAGAAAGCACCAAGCTCCAAAGGCCCAGTTACCAGACTTGTCTGGATCTTGAGGGGCAGGAGGTGCCCAGCAGATACCTGGTCTACAAGGAAGACTCTGCACCTACAGGCTGGCTGCAAGGGGCATGCACTGTGGAACTGGAAGTGGGAGAAAACTTTTACCTGTGGCCGACGGCAACTAGAAGACGTGTATCTTCAGGATTCCCCTCAGGCGTGCCTGACGGGAAAAGTTTGGGACCTTCAAGCCCTTGGCCTCCGTGGGGCTCCCAGAGATCTCCACAAACCCAAAACATTTCACAGCGAGGGAACGTGAGCCCAGTTGGTGCCAAGGAAGCCTTCAGTTGGCTGTGTAGGGGGCTCCTCCTCACATCTGATTGATCCCTGATGGGCTGAAGCGGGGCTAAGTGATCTTAGGTGGTCTAAGGAGGGCATGGGCCACGAGCCCACTGGCATCGTGGAAATCTCATATATGCCTTTGGGGCTGTCACCTAAACACCATCCCAGCGCTGAATCCTTCACAGCTGGCACAGCAACACCAGCATGAAAGGCTTGAAGATGTTTTAACCCACAGCAGAGGCTCAGCAGAGGGAAGGTCTAGGATGGCAGGAAGTGCTAGATGCCGTGGAAGAATAGAGCCTCCCCTGGAAGCATGCTAAATGGATGGCAGCCAGACTGCCTGGGTCCCAGCCTTGCAGCTGACCAGCTAAGTGACCTTGGCTTCTGGGATTTAGATCCCTCAGCTCTAAAATGGGGACTGCACTGGCCTCCAGAGTGCTGTTATCCCTGTTGCCTCAAATCTGGCTCAGCAGGTAACTGAGTGTTGCCTTGGAGCCTCAGCGAACAGGAAACGACAGAGCAAGACTGCTACCTGGTTGGGACACCAGCACCAGGCCTAGGAGAGTGCCTCATTTTGGCACAGGAACCACACCTAGAAAAGGAAATGGAAAGGCTTGATGGAACATTTTTGTATTCCGCTTTGTGAATTTCAGGAGGGAGAGCTGCAGGGTCCAACCATAGACCTGGAATGGAAGTATAATACTTTTGAGAAAGGATTATAATAATATATTCCTGAGAGGGATGGTCTTTCAGGTGAAACAATTGAAGGCTGTGATCACATCTGGAGGCTCAGAGGCAGTCAGAAACAGCACCAGGGTTCCTATCAGGCTACAGCAGCAGGTCTCAGAACACCAACTTCAAGGACAGTGACAAAAATGACTGTTGTCAGGGCTCTTCCCAAAACATCTGCACAGACTGACAGCAAATGGAAGCCTCACCTCCAGGGGCAAAAGAAAGTGATATGCTGAAGTGGCCTGTCTTACTGAATTTGGATTCACTCTCTGAAATGACCTTAAACCCGCCCCAGAGAGCTATGGCTCCAGGCTTCCCCACACAGGTGATTCTGGTCCATTCACTTCCGGGAGGCTCAGCTATGACTTGGACAATCTTGGAAGCACCAGTTACCTGCTTCGGTCTCCTTCTGATTTACATTCAGAGTGCTCTTAAGACCAGCATCTATCAGGCCTTAAAGAAGGAATGAGGCATGTCTCTCCCATTTTAACAGAGGTGAATGGGAACCCATGTGTCCTATTTATGCAGAATAATTTTAATAGACCCCTACCTCTTACCAATATATTTTCATGATTCTTTCATTAAAACAACCCACAGAACAGCCACTTTTTCCTTCTTCCCACTAGAATTCCAAATGATCCCAATTCCTTCTCTCTCACTGGAGTGTCATAAAACTACCCCAGACCTTTCTCCGTCTCTTCACCCTGTGCCCAGCTATCACGGGATGCCCTCTCAGCTGGGAGCCACGAGCCTGTGATTGTAGCACTAGTAGCATATCACCCACTTGTACTGCTTATCACATCCTAAAGACCGAAAGCCCCAGATTCACATTCTGGCAACCCCAGACCCATCACCAATCAGACAGATAGCATAAAGACATTTTTCCCAATACAGAATCATATATATTCTGAGTGACTGAGCTATTGGCATTCAAGTTTTGACCAGTTTCAAGATGCTACTACTAGATAATGGGAAGACCGTACACAGACACTGCAAGTTGTTACAGAAGACTGTTAGTTGGTATACAAGAGTTTCAGGTTAGATACGGCAACACCTAGCCAGCTGCTTGGATACACTGGGAGCCTTACTCCTTCCAGGCTGTGAAGCCTCTGAGAAACTGCATCCTTTTTTTAGGGCCTCTACCACTGTTTAGTGTGCTAATGCCCAGAATTCACGGCCTCTTTCTTCCTGAACTCAGAGGAGTGATGAGCAACTGTTTAAAACCAGATGTGGAAGGTATTCCTCCACCACCTCCCATATAATGTAGTCTCATGAATGAATCCCAGCTTCAAAGTACCCTCAAAAGGTAAGCAGAATGGGCACCTTCCCTACCCAAAGAATTGAAAAATGGAGGCAAAGAGACCACCTGATCATACGGTTCAATCGGCTGCTTAAGGGGAGAGCCAGAGCCAGAGCCAGGATCTGGCTCTGTGCCCATGTTCCTCCCAGCAGGCCTTCTGGGCAGCTGGGACGGTGGCCCAGCCGCCTGACTGAGGCGCAGAGTCCACAGCCAGTGCAGAAAACCCTGGAGGGGGGCTGCGGTCCAGCTGTGATCCAGCTTTCTCTGCTTCCAGACAGGGCTAGGTTCCAAGTGACGATGCCAATGACTACAGATGTCACGAGCAGCTGGAAAACGAGTCCCCTTTGACAAATCTGGACGCAGTCTCTAGCTGCTGTGTTCAGGATAGGGCCCATGAGCGTGCTTTTAGATAAAGTGAGAAGGCTGGGCTTACACTAAACAGTGAGAATGAGTGAATGCAGCTTCCAGAAGGCCATCACCTGGTTCTGATGCTGACGAAGAAAGCATCTGGCCAAATCCAGAAAGGATAGACCTAGAACTATCCTTCTAAACCTACCCTGAGTGGTAAACATAAGATACATGTCTTGACCCATGTAAAGGTGAAGTATTACCATTTCCAACTCTACAGGACACATCACTCGAGTTACAGTTGAGGGGCATGTGCCCTACGTGGGACCATGTAGTGTGGCATCTCCATCACATGGTACGGAACAGTTTCCAACTGTACAGCCGTTACATGGTGAGGTCTGATTTTAGCCACAGTATTTTAAAAGCCAATTTCTACTGACATGTTTTGTGAAAACAATGGAATTGTTTGACCTTATACATATTTTACATTGACAGTGGAACAAGTACAGGAGTTTACGCCCCCAGATGGGTGTTGCTGCCTTCGAAGTAGTCACCTTGGGAAGATGTGTTTAGCCTTGTGAAGCCGGCCTTACTCAGAACATTTCTAGAGCCATCCTTGAAAACTGTCTCCTTAAAAGCTTTCTCAGTGTTGTTAAGTCTTTGTCCCGTAAGGGTAGATTTATTTTTCATCAAGTGATTTTTTTTAACAGCCAAAGAGCATTAGAAGATAAGTCCAGTAAATAAAATGGGTGATGGACTTGGGACTACCTCTGGGGAGGGGTGGTATAAAAAAAAGACCTGACTATGAGGTTGTAAGCCCTCTTTTCTTGCATCATTTCAAAGATAACTCCAAACAGGGATTCTATGTGTTCTTGGCACATGCAACATCACAGCTCAAGAGTATGGTCTCCCAAGGAAACGACCCTGATTATGGTAGCTCTTGAGTGCGTGTGATTTGGTTAAAAAGGTGGTCTTGCTCATTTCCAGTCATACTTTGTACGGCAGAAGTGGAGCACTCCATTTCCACGGACGGGAAGGATCATCATCTACTGCTTGAAGAGTTGAAATGAAAAGCACTTGGTGTCATGTCGACATTATCTAACTCCCTCCAAAATGTGCAATGAGTAAGTCCTGGTACTTGAGTCTCCCCAATTTGGAAAAGTGGGTAAGGACAGGTCTCTGGAACCTGGATTAGACTAGAATATCAAGGGGATTGGACTGTATTTCCAATGGCTGTATCTACCTAATAAGCCCGCAAAACCAACTCAGACAAAAAACCCCTCCTACAGCTAAGTAGTACACAAAGCTTCAGTAGAGGAGGGGGAAGATGATTATCTTCCAGTAGCTTTCCATGATATAAACCAATGGCTTCTGGATGACATGGGAAAATTGTCCACTGAAAAGAAAGTCCACGGTGTTTGGTTCTAGTGCATGCTTAAGAAATAAAGTGTGTGGCCACTAGCTCATTGAAGTGCATTTCCAGCTGAGGCCAAAGGCAGCAAAGGTGCAAGAGGCTGCTGGGGCTGGCGTTGGTTGAAGCAGGGTCTGTGAATGTGGAATGGCAAAGAGATTTGTAGAGCTCCCCAGTTACAGAGCAGGACATCTGCCAACCAGTGAAGTCGAAGAACGTTCAATTTTACTTTCAACAAAGTGCTTCATTGAAAATGCTAATGAGGAAGCTCCCTAGAACACCATATCCTGAGTGTCATAGAAATATGGTCAAAACGGTGATTGATGGGGAACAGAGATCCATCCTCTAATTACTATTTGAACTGTGTATTCTCCAAGCATCTCTCTCTCGCACACACACACGCAACTCTTAACGAAAAGCACATAACTGCAGTCACATTCCACCTCTTCTGCACACGCCTCCATCCGGAGGTTGCTTTTGAGGACAGTATTTCCAGGAGCCTTTACGAGTTAATGGGCTCTATTGCTAAAAGCCAGAAGCGGCAGCACAGAATCAGCGCCTTAAAATAAGTTGTGATATCCAAGTGCTTGAGCAGACCTCGCTCCAAATTGATCAGCCAGGATGTTGTTCTTGGTGAGTGTTTTTAGATTAGTCTTTGTAAAAACCACAAAGCTAGGCCATTTGCTTAAATCATCGTTAGAAAGAATGCCGAGTGCCCAGATGGGATTTCTAGTTTCTGTGCAAATGAAATCACATTAGCCCAGATTTTATTCATTCAAAACTACTAGGAAAGCAGTAGGATTTGGCTTAGATGCTGCCAGACAAGCAGGAATTCACTTCAGTTTTAATTCAGAAGCAATCCTGTTGTTAATGTTGTAGCTGGGTTCGGGCAGCGTGGGCAGCGTGGGCGGCGGGGGCCCCGGTGTGCTCACGGAGGAACCCCGGACCTCGCCCAGTTCAGGCTCGCTCTCACTAGAGGTAGACCCGTTGTTGATGGTGTAGATGCTCTCTGCAACTCCCTGAGCTGACGCACAGCCATCTGGCTCTTTCTTCTCCCTGGGACTAGACAGTCCTGGGAGGACGGCCATCTTCCCAGTCTGCATATTTGGCAGCAAGGACATGGCATAGTCTGCAATGATCCCTCCCACGTCTAAGTTGCACGCCTGGTCAAAGGCGAGGAAACCGACGTTGGCGTTTGCCTCACACACCACAAAGGAGCCGTCATCCATGATGAGGAGGTCAATGCCACAGAAGTCCATGCCCAGGATGTTGGACACCTGAATGGCCAGCTGCTTGCCCTGTTCTGTCAGCGGGCACATGACGCCCACGCCACCTGCGGGGGGAAGCACAGTCATGTAGTGATGACGTCAGACACTGACGGACAAGTCCAATGACCCTTCGGAGAGGAGAAGCCGGCGTGCTGCGGAAGAGCGGCAGCATGGCATTTTCACTACTGAAGGTCTGGGTGGAAATCTGGATGCCCTTTGGGAAAACAATATGGTCGTTTCTTATCTAGAGCCTTAAAAATACTTACGTTCTCTGACCCAGTCATTCCGCGGCTAAGGAAATAATCTTATGTATTAGAGAAAAAGCTTAAAGCAGACAGATGTTGATGGCAGTTATCATTGTGGCTGGTACACAGGAGGCACTCCATAAATGTTTGTTGATGAATAAATGCAAAATTATAATCTAAATATTTTGCAATAAGGTAAAACAACATATTTTACAAGCATTAGTAATAATGCTCATAGAGTTTGTGATCCCATAGGAAAATGTGTAGGATTAAAGATTGTACAGTGAGCCCTGGCTGGTGTGGCTCAGTGGGTTGAGTGCTGGCCTGTGAACCGAAAGGTCGCCAGTTCAATTCCCAGTCAGGGCACATGCCTGCATTGCAGGCCAGGTCCCCAGTTGGGGGACAACTGATCTATCTCTCTCACATCGATGTTTCTAGAGGTGGGAGTAAAAGACAGAAAACTGTACTGGAACAACAATTAAAATAAAAATAAATAAATAAATAAAGGCTGTGCAATGTAACCAAAACTGTCCAAAAGGCTATTATTAGGAAAGAAAGATTCGAAGAAATGATAACAAAATGTTAACATTAATTCTTTCTAGATGGTGGGATTAATGATAAATATCTTTTCACTTGACTTTGCTATATTTTCCAAGTTTTTACATTGAGAATGTATTCCTTTTATAATTAGAAAAAAAACAGAATTAAATTATTATTTTTTAAGTAGAGAGAGATGGGGAAGCTTGTGAGAAAAAAGCCTATACCAAGGACAGCAAGAGTATGATTGCTCTTATTAGTTAAAAAGCTAAGACCTCAAATTTACTTGCTCCTTCAGTCCCTAGAAAGGCTTACGATTTGAATTCTCAGGTCCAATAACTAATGTCTTTACCCTCACACTGTTCTTCCCCTGCCTGTTACACTGTATAAGGGAAAGGCTGTAAAAACAGCTCAGTGGGGAAAGTAACGTGGGTAAATTACAAAACCATGCTGTTCCTTGTTAGAGAATAGATTCTTTAAGGTGACCAAAAAAGACAGAACAATAACATACTGTGAATGGCACACGATTCTCATGAAAATTAAATGAGATAATATGTTAGGTACTTAGTACTGTGTCCACCTCCAATAGCATTTGCTCCTATTACGCCACTTTATCACAGCATCTCACCGTGATTTGTTCTGTGACTTCCTTTCCTGGACCACAAGCTACCGGAGGGTGAGGATTCTCTCACTAATGGCTACACTCTCACCACCTACCAGAGTCTGCTCATGGGAACTGCTCAACCAGTTTCAATGAAGGAAAGATGAAAACAATGTCTCAGCCTCCTTCTTAGTCACTAGACTTGGGACACTCATCTGGCGATTTAGGAAACAGTAACTATAGGGTGTTTTTTGTTTTCTCATGTTACCAACATACAAATTCATCCAATGACATTGACAATAGCTTTCTGCATGGGGGGCAAGACTCCACCGCCTTCCTGGAACGTCTTCGTTCACCACCACACAACAAGCTTCATTAACTGGTCCATGGGGTGGGGCTATGCATTTGACCCAGACATAAACTACAGCCTTCTAATATTATACAAATAAGAAAAACAATCTTTATTTGTGCTAAAAATAGCAGAATATGCTGTGCCTCCTGCCATTGCCTTAGTTTAGAACCTCACTATAATCTTGCCCAAGCGGTTATAGCAGCTTCCACACTCGTCTCCTTGCCTCCTGTCTTAGGCCTTCAGTCTATCCTCACCCAGATGTCGCTTTTTCCCGAACAACCCGACTGCTAAGTCCTAACACAACACAACAGGACGGGGTCAAACCGCAGTGTCCTGACACCCCTGGCCCGACCTCTGTCACAGCACATACACCCATCTGTCCCCCTCCTGGACTGCTTGCTGCCAGAGGAGAGGGCTCGTTTCTCATTCTTAGCTGTTGACCCTGGCACCGAGCACAGGGTCTGACAAGATGGGAGGGACCGGTACACATTTACTGAATGGGTCCGAACATTCTAAGGAAGAATCCCGGTGGCCTCCTGTAACCCACAGGCAGACTCTGGGCTTTGATACCTTACCGAGGGAGCAGTTACTCTGCATCCGTCCATCTGTGGAGCAGCGAAGCATCGAGCCTATCACCTGGCCCCCGACCACCACCACCCGGATATCTTTTCCGTGTGACTCCTTCACATACTTCTGGAACAGGTAGGGCACATCATGGCGGATCAGATGGCAGATGTCTGAGAGGTGATGCTTATCTCTTGCAAGAAAAACAGCTTTTCCTTTAAGACAAAAGACAAAGAACCAGAGGAGTGAGAGAAGACTCTGAACCCTGTCCTCGCCCTCCCATGCCCTGGCCCCACAGTCATCAATTCCTTCTGAACTTGCCTGACTGTGGCCCATTCTACTTCTCAGCCTAGCCTTTTGCCTCTTATCGAGTGACTACTGACCCTTATTTTCTCTTCATCTTACTCAGGTCTTCATAATGTTGATGGTCTCCCTCTACCACCAGTCTTTTCAAAATGAAATAATAATGTATTCCAGAAACACAGAGAAGGGATCAAAATAAAATCCTAAGGATCTAGTCAAATCAGTTCCAAAACAGTGAGTTATTAGCATTTCTTATCACCCTGAGGATGCAGATTAGGCAGGGTCCACGTCTAGCTCATTTTTTAAATCCCCCAAACCTCAGACTTGACTTGATGCACAAAGCAGCCGTCAGTACTTACAGGACATAACTGACTGAATATACGTCACGGGGATTCCGAAATAGATGGAGGGAGATCCAGGAAAGATAACGACAACACAGCGTGCTTTCCCACTGGGAGGTCTATGAAAAACACTATGGGGTTTCAAAGAGGGAGCCACTGATGGATATCCTTCCTCCTTTTAAATATAAGAAACTAATTATTTGGTGGTACCTATTAATTCTAAAAGGAACGCTCTATATGTTTAGGGCTCTCTTGGGAAAGCATTCCTTTCTGCTCGAATGACCAATGCCTTGGTAATTACCTGGCATCCACTTTCCATCTGCATATTAGCTAACAGGGGTTCTTGATAGGTTTACTCTGCAAATCTGACATAAGCGTACCCAATCTGAGCATTCTTGTTAACACATTTGGGATGGTTCTCCCAAGATTTACATAACCATCTTAAAAGGAGTGAGACCTTTCTGAAGTCTTAATAAGAGGGATGGGCATCTGGCCCTAGTGGCATAAAAGATTGGAAATATGTCTCCAAAACATTGGACACTTGGTACCAGGAGATCAGGCATCTGGCAATTGAGGGCTGGGGCTCGGTCATCGGCACTGGGGGTTCTCTGACAGCAGGTACGATTTTCAGCAGAGGTGGGAGCTAGAGATAGAGACCTGTTCCTTGGTTCCAGGCACAGAGGTTCTATCATGGAGTTTAGTCTTCCGTTAATACAAGAGCTACTAAAACTGTAAGACAAAGGAGGCAAGGAGGATAAAGGAGTGGGGAGTGGGGGGAAGGCACTGAGACCAGTTAATAATCTATGATGTGCCAAACAGTTTTTTACTGTTTCATTTACACTTCATATGAGCCTTGTGAAGCCATTAGGACCAAGATAGCTTTTTTTACTTTATAAATGAGGAAAATAAGGGTCTACAGATTAGCCACATTCTCAAAGGCTCAGCCTACACCAGTCATTGTCTTCTTTAGATTTATTTTCATACACTGGAGTCTGAGCACTGCTGGAACTTTGTCTACTCCCTATCCATTTTCCCTAAGAAACTAGCAATAAATAATCTGAAAATCAAATTAAGAGTGCAATTCTATTTACAACAGTATTAAAAAGAATAAATATTTAGGAATACATTGAATCAAAGGAATATAATACTCACACACTCAAAACTACAAAACATTTCTGCAGACGTCCCATGTTCAGGGACTGAAAGTATTACTAAGATGGCAATACTCTTCAAATTGATTTGCAGATTCACTGCATTCTCCACCAAAATTCCAACTTCCTTTTTTACAGAACTTGACCAGGTAACCCTAAAATTCATATGGAAATGCAAGGGACCCCAAATAGCCAAATAGTCCTTGAAAGGGACAAAGTTGGAGGACTCACACTTCCCAATTTCAGAACTTACTGTGAAGTTACAGCAATCAAGACAGCGTGGCCTGTGATAAGCACAGACATACAGATCAACGGAACAGAATGGAGAGCTCAGAATAAACCCTCACATACTGTCAGCTGATTTTTGACAAGAGTTCCATGAACACTGAATGGGGAAAGAACAGCTTCTTTAATAAATGATACTGGAAAACTGGATATCCACATGCCACAGAATGAAGTTGGACTTCCACATCACACCATATACAAAACTGAACTCAAAATGGGTCAAAAACCCAAAGTAAAAGCTAAAACTATAAAACACTTAAAAGGGCATATAGGTGTAAATTTGTGTGGCCCTGCATTAGGCAAGCACAAAAATGACATCAAAAACACAAATAACCAAAGGAAAAAATAGACTAGATTTCATCAAAATCAAAAACTTTTGTGCATCAAAGGACACTACCAAGAAAGTGAAAAACATTTGGCCGGGATGGAGGCGTATATAGACATGTTTTGTCTTCTCACACAACCATAAGAAGGGGCACAATTAACCTCAAAACAAAAAACAACCAGAACTGCCAGAAAACTGACCTGTATCTAAGTCAGACAACTAATGATTTAAAGAAGAAATATTCATCTAGATGAGGAGGAAGGGCGGCGGCAGGGAGCCAGAGTGGAGAGGACATGGTGTGGCAGTGGCGGCAGCTGTCAGAACTGGCGGTCCCACGTTCATGTGTAGCAGATAAAAACTGGGAGGGACATCTTGGGAGTGAGTGATCCTAGCCCCAGGCTAGACCATGCAGCCCAGGGTCCCAGTGCTGGGAAAATAAAGCCTCATAACTTCTGGCTATAAAAACCAGTAGGGGTTGAGGGGCAGAATAAATTGCCAGTCTCTCAAAAGAGTCTGTTTAAAGGGCCCCCATGGTCCTAAAACCTACGCAAACCCACCCACTCTGGGAACCACCACCAGAGCGACAGCAAGAGGGGCGCCAGTTGCATAAGGGAGGTGGGTGAAGTGACTGGAAACGGGGCAAGGGCCCAGCAAGCAGCATTGTTCTCTCTCCAATCCCTCCTCCACATACAGCACCACAAAGCAGTGAAGCAGGTTATCCCTCCCTGGTAAATACCTAAAGATCCACCCCTTAAAATGTAGCATGTGAGCCAAGACAGGAGTAAAAGCAGCTCTACCTAATGCACAGAAGCAAACACAGGGAGGCTGCCAAATTGAGGAGACAAAGAAATATTGCCCAAATGAAAGAACAGATCAAAACTCCAGAAAATGAACTATGTGAAACGGAGATAACCAACCTATAAGATGCAGAGTTCCAAACGCTGGTGATAAAGATGCTCAGAGAACTCACTGAGCACGGCAAATGCGTAAGAGAAGAAATGAAGTCTACACTAAATGAAATAAAGAAAATTCCACAGGGAACCAACGGTGAAGGGAAAGAAGCCGGATTCAAATTAATGATTTGGAACATAAGGAAGAAATAAACATTAAACCAGGATAGAATGAAGAAACAAGAATTCAAAAAAAAAAAAAGGAGAGAATAAGATGACTCTGGGACATCTCCAAAAGTGCCAACATCTGAATCATAGGGGTGCCAGAAGGAAAAGAGGAAGAGCAAGAAATAGAAAACGTATTTGAAAAAATAATGAAAGAAAAATTCCCTAATTTGGCAGACAAAAAAAATAGCTACACAAGTCCAGGAAGCACAGAGAATTCCAAGCAAGTTGGACCCAAAGAGGGCCACACCAAGACACATCATAATGAAAATGCCAAAGGTTAAAGATAAAGAGAGAATCTTAAAAGCAACAAGAGAAAAGAAGAGAGTTACCTACAAAGGAGTTCCCACAAGACTATCAGCTGATTTCTCAAAAGAAACTTTGCAGGCAAAAGGAGCTGGCAAGAAATATGCAATGTCATGAAAAGCAGGGTCCTACAAACAAGATTGCTGTATCCAGCAAAGCTATCATTTAGAATGAAAGGGCAGATAAAGTGCTTCCCAGACAATGTAAACCTAAAGGAGTTCATCATCACCAAGTCCTTATTATATGAAATGTTAAAGGTACTTATTTAAGAAAAAGAAGAAGATCAAAACTATGAACATTAAAATGACAACAAACTCACAACTACCAACAATTGAATCTAAAAAACAAAACAAGAACAAACTAAGCAAACAACTAGAGCAGGAATAGAATCACAGGTGTGGATATCATAGACAGGGTTACAGTAGGGAGGGGGAAGGGGGAGAATAGGGGAAAAAGAACAGGGATTAAGAAGCATAATTGTTAGGTACAAAATAGACAGGGGGTGGTTAAGAATAGTATAGAAAATGGAGAAGCCAAAGAACTTACATGCACGACCCATGGACTTGAAGTAAGGGGCAGGGGGATTGCTGGAGGGAAGGAGAAAAAATTAGGACAACTGTAATAGCATAATCAATAAAATATATTTTAAAAAAGAAAGTGAAAAGACAACCTACAGAGTAGGGGAAAAACATGTTTAAATTATATGTCTGATAGGGTATAATAGTCAGAACATAATAACTCATTCTTAAAAATTCAACAATAAAAAGACGATCCAATTGAAAATGGGCAAAGGACTTGAATAGACATTTCTCCAAAGAAGACATACAAATGGCCAATAAGCACATGAAAAGATGTTCAACATCATTAGCCATTAAGGAAACATAAATAAAAACCACATTATATCCACTAAGATGGCTATCATAAAACAAATCAAGAATGAATGAAGGGAAGGAAGGAAAGAAATAAAGAAAAGGAAGGAAGAGAGGGAGTAAGGAAGGCAGGGAGGGTTGGGAAAATGTGGAGTCCTGGTGGAAATGTAAAATGGCATAACCAATGTGGAAAATAGTTTGGCAGTTCCTCTAAAATTAAACATAGAATTACCACATGACCCAGAAATTCCACTCTTAGGTGTATACCCAAGAGAAATGAAAATGTGTGTTCACACAACAACCTATACATAATGTGCATGGCAGCATTATTCACAGTAGCTACAAAACGGAAACAACCCGACTTCCATCCACTGATGAACAGACAAAGTGTAGTATACCCCTGCAACAGAATAGTGAGTCATAAACAGGAATAAAGTACTGATATATGTTGTGCCCTGGCTGGTGTGGCTCAGTGGGGTGAGTGCTGCTCTGTGAACCAAAAGGTCTCCAGTTCAATTCCCAGTCAGGGCACATGCCTGGGTTGCGGGCAAGGTTCCCAGTTGTGGGTGTGGGAGAGGCAACCAATGGATGTTTCTCTTGCACATAAATGTTTCTCTCCCTTTCTTTCTCCCTCCCTTCCCCTCTCCAAAAATAAATTTGAAAAAATGTTTTTAAAAGAGTACCGATATATGTTGCAATATAGATGACCCTTGAAAATATGCCAAGTCAAAGGAGCCAGACACAAAAGGCCACAAATTATATGATCCATTGATATGAAATGTCGAAAACAGGCAAATCCATAGAAACAGAAACCAGTTGCTCACAGTTGCTTGCAGGGCAGTGTGGGGGCAGCATGGAGGGGGGTGGGTGAAGGTAGAAGAGGGTATGGGGGGGATAAATGGTAATGGGGAAAAATATAATAAAATAAAAATAGAAATAAAGAAAACTAAAAAACAAATTAAAAAGAAAGAAAAGAAAGTAGTTGCCTGGAAAGGACAATTGGGATGGACCCCTACTAGGTATGGGTTTCTTTTTGAGGTGATGGAAATGTGCTGAAATTAGATAATGGAGATGGCTGTACCCAAGAGAGAATATACGAAAATCCACTGAACTGTACTCTTCCAAACAGTGATTTTTTTATGTGAATTTTATCTCAATTTTGAAAATGTTTAAAAACACTATGCATTCTACCTGATTTGTTTTTGCCTGTCTTGCCTTTCTACAATTCAAGCTCCTTGAGGGCAGCACTTTTTGTTCTGTTCCTTTCTGCGTCCTCTGGAATAGCCCCTGGTACTCTGTAGGTACTCGGTAAATACTAGGTGAGTTTCATGAAATATGTATCTCACCACAACCTCCCAGAGAGACACTGCGTTTCGGCACCGTCCCACACCCGCGCGGTGTTAAGAACCCACCTCGCCTCCCGCACTCATTTTTCTCACTCCTCAGGGGGGGACCCCTCTACGCTCACAGGCTGCTGTGCTCACACCTGCTTCTGTTCGTTCGCTCAGCTCACTTCCTCCAGTTCAAATTCCACACTTCAACTGAAGTCTCTTTTTCTGCCCACGGAGCTTTCCCTGCCTCATGGCAGAGCTGGCCCTCCCTGTGTTCAGCGCCAGCAGGTGCCTCGTTGTGCCTGCTGCAGGGGCATTGCTCTGCAGTGCAACCGTCTCCCTTCTTCACCTCTGAGATTCTGGAGAGTGGTGACTGTCAAGTTCATTTCTACTGTGCAGTCCCCGCATCCCAGGAATTGCTCAGCACGTGTCTGTTTAGGGTACCTCCTTCTCCCTCCAGGTGCCCTAAACATTTATATACGCCACCTGGGTGACATCATGAGGCACCCGCTCACATACTGTAGGAGGGCTGCTTTCTGCCGCATCTGTCTTCCACACTTACTGAGTCCCTACTGTGTATTGAGCACTCAGTAGGCTTTACAGAGACACAGGGGAACAGAGGGGACCTGGTTCCCCCCGCCCCCCGAGCAGCTCACAGTCAGAAGGGGAAAAGACACATAACCCACAACTGTCATCAAGTGTAGTACTGGGCCAGAATCACGGACCAAGTGCCATGGACGCATGAAGGGAAGAGGAATTAATTTTGTCTGGAAGTGCAGGAGGGAGACCAGAGATGTGGAGGGAAAAGAAATGACATCTGGATCTGGCCTTAAAGGGTGAGCAGAGCCCTGGCCAGTGTGACTGTGATGGCTGGGTGTCATCCTGCAGACCAAAAGGTCGTGGGTTCAATTCCTTGTCAGGGCACATGCCTAGGTTGCGGGTTTTGTCCCTACTCGGGCACATGCAGGAGGCAACCGGTTGATGTTTCTCTCTCACAACGACATTCCTCTCCCTCTTTCTTCCTCCCTTCCCCTCTCTCTGGAATCAATAAAAGAAAAAGAAAAAGAAAAAAAAAAAAGAATGAGCAGAAGTTCACTAGAGGGCAGAAGAAGACGGCATTTCCAGCAGAGGTTTCTGAGAGGAAGACACATGGCCTCTGAAAGAGGAGTCCGGAATGGATCTGAGAGGGTCACGTGGACAGACAAGCTGCAAAGGAAGGTGGGGGCTCTTCATCCAGGCCCCTCCGTCAGTGCCACGAGGAGGAATGTGGACTTTGTCTAGTAGGTGGCGTAAGCATTTGAGAGGGTTTTTCAACAGACAGTGACAAGAACAGAGCTGTTTCAGGGAACTTACTCCCCTAAAGGAACAGAGGATGCACTGGCAGTGGAGTTAGGGAGACCAGAGTCAAGTCAGGACTCTGCCACCGTTGTCCAGGGAAGGGATTGGAAGGGTGGGGACAGTGAGGAGAGGACAGATGTGAGGACTACACAGAAAGCGCCTCCAGGGGGAGCTCTGCTCCTCCCAGCGGTGCTTCTGCCAGGCCTGACAGGGGGTCTTACTGGCAGAGCTGCAGCCCTAAAGGAAGCCCAGGAGCAGCACTGACCCTGGTGTCCTCGTGTGCTCTTCACCACGACTGGGTAGCCCAGGGGCTCAGCTTCATCAATCATCTTTGAAAAGTCTTCATGCCCACCTGCCAAGAAAAAGTGAAAGTCAGTGAAGGTAAGGCTGATGCTCGGGAGAAGGCAGCCCCGCATGGCACCCTCTGTGGGAATTCTTTCAAGGCCTCCTGCCTCTCTGATTAAAGCAATTTGAACCCATTCAGTCCGACAGGCATGCACTGTGCACCTGTAACGTAAAAGGTGGGTGCAGACAGATAAGGAAACCAACATTTATCAAGGACTTCGACATGGCAAAGGCTTTACATGCTCTAGTTCATGTGATCCTCATCATAATCCTATAGGCTGGGCAGGCATGTTGCCCTTGAAAATGGCTGCTGTAGGCAGAGTTCTGAGATGGGTCTGAAGATTCCTGCCTGCTGGTGCACATACCCAGTCTAATCCCCTCCTGTGAGTGTGGGAGGGGCCAGTAAATATGATGGGGAAGCATTCCTGTGATCAGGTCTACTTTTAGTTAATCAAGGGAGGATAATTCCTGGTGGGCCTGGCCTAATTGGGGGAGCCCTTCCAATGAAGGTGAGACGTCAGAGACTCCCCCGCTGGCCCTGAAGGAGCAAGCTGCCATGTTGTACAGCAGGGAGGGTGGGCAATCTTGAGGAGCTGAGAATGGCCCTCAGTTGACAGCCAGCAAGAAAAGGGGGACCCCAGTTCCTACAACTGCAAGGAACTAAATACCAACAACCAATGAGCTTGGAAGACCCCAGAGCTCAGGGGAGGCCACAGCCCAGCTGCCCCTTGGTTTCAGCCTGGTGACACCTAAGCAAAGAACCCAGCTGTGCTGTGGCTGCACTGCTGACCTACAGAGACTGAGAATGTAAGTAGGTGTTATTTTAAGACACTACGTGTTTAGCTGTTTGTTATGTAGTGATAGAAAACCAAAACCAAAAGAAAACAAGCCTGGGGATTTGTCTCATCCAAAGTTAAGGCATGACTCACAGGCCTAAATTGGCTCCACTATACTCCTGCAAGTCTTACTTTTAGAAACACAAATAGTAATGTGAATGAAAATCTTTCAAAATTGTTGTTACAAACTTCACTAATTTCCTATCCCTTTGTACATGTGGGAAACCATTATTCTGCCTGCAGCTCATCAATTTTTGCAAAGGAAAATATCCTGGAATACTAATACCTGTTTTGATCACAAAAGTGCTAATGATTTTTTTTTTTTTAAATGAAGAGGCATTGGAGATAACCAGGGGCATCTTCCAAAGAGGACGTTTTATAAGAAGGTAACTCCCAACCTCCTGACACCTGCTGATGAATTTAACTCCTCTCTGCCCATTCTCTCTCCCTCCCCTTCCACTACAGTGAAAGAGGGTCCTTCTCATCGCAGGCCACTCCCACACCAGTGGTGCTTGGGCCGCTTTCCCTCTCCCCTTCTCAGGAATCTTGCACCTTTAAGTGTCCCCTTTTCGACGGTGCCTCCCATCTCCCCGTTCCTAATTCCAACACCATGTTAAACATACTCAGTTCTGTCCCATCCTAAATGAACAACCCCCCCATTCCCTGACCCTGCCTCATCCCTTAACCATAACTTTGTATCCCTACAATCAAGCTCCTCAAAGGGGTTTCCATTCCCTCACTTGCTCTTCATTTCCGCATCCTTGACAATTTGGCTTCTCTCCCCATCACTACACTGAAGCTGTCTTTGTTAAACTACCTGTTGCTAAGCCCAACACACATGGCTCAGTGCTGCTGTTACTTGTTCTTTGAGAATCAATCAACACGTTTCATGACACCTGCCTTCCTGGAATCTCCTTCACTGGCTTCTGTCATCTCCCTTTTACCTGTCACCTCTCCAGCCACTCCTACTAGTCTCTTGTACAGGTTCCTCTTCCTTTACCTTTCATAAAGGAGCGCCTCCTAAACCCTCTTTTATTAAATTTGATTTTTTTTATTGTGGTAAAGTATATATAATAGAAAATTTATCATTTCAACCACTGAAGGTGTACAGTTCAGTCCTCTTCATTCTACACAGTCCCCCTGAGTAATCCCATCCATTCTTGTGATGTCACTTAACATAAGGAAGGCTTCCGATTACCCTTCCCTGGTCTACTCCTCCCTCAGGAGCCCCAGATCCATTTATCTGCCACCTACTGAATGTTTTTACTTGCATTTACTATAGATACCTCAAAGAGAACGTGTCCCAGACTGAAATCACCTCTCCCCGGCAATCCCACACCCCCGACCCACTGGCCTGTCTCTTCCCTCCTGCGTTTCCAGTCTCAGTGAGTGTTTGCTTTTGCATCTGGTTGCCCAAACCAGAAACCAGACTCGCTCTCAATTCCTCTCCGTACCCCTTCTGTCCAACTCACCAACATGCCTTATTATTTCTATTTCCTTCGTAATTCCTGAGTCTGTTGACTTGTCTTCATTCTTACTATGGCTACGTTTGTTTAGACCAACACTGCTCTTTGAATGGTTCAAAAAGACTGCCACTACGTATCTTGTCTCTGCTTCTGTCTAATTCCTTCTTCATAGTGTCACCAAAGTGGTATTCCGAACTCTGATCAGGCCACCTCCTTGCTTAAAGCCCAATAACTGGTGGTGTATGGCTACTTTTATCCTACTAGCCTTACATCTCAACTTGTCTCCCTTACGCTCTCCCAACCACTTGAAGTACCACCCACTGGTCAAGCTCTCCGCTTTGACTCCTCCCTTGCTTCACTTCTCCTGCCCCTTTAGCTGGGTAACTTCAGCTTTGTTGAGACATAATTTTTTTTTTTTTGGGAAGGCTTCCTCAATATCTTCTAAATTCATTAGGAGTTCTCCTATGTATCCCCTTACCACCTCACACTAACTCTTATCATGGCACTTATGACACTGCACTGAACTTGCCTGTTCACTTGCTGTCCTCTGCCTCCAATGAACTGGAATGCCTTGAGGCTGTAGTCCAGTGCCTGGTGTGGTGGTCGGCATATAGTGTGTGCCAGATACATATTTAATGAATGAATTGCAGACAGAAAGAAGCAAAGGTATTTCAGACAGAGGGAATGACCATGATAAAGACTCAAGATGTTGAATTAAGATGAACAGCCCCACATGGAAAACCAACAAGACACTCAAGAGCTACTAGGGAGAGAAAACATCGAGATGCCACCGGGAAAGAGAAACTCTAGCCTCATTTCAAGGACACTCACCGTAGGAGAAGGTATCTGGCATGGGGACCCCATGCCCAGCCAGCTCTTGGAAGGTCCAGAATTTGTTGATGCAGTTTAAGATGCTCTGTGGGCGGTTGACTAAGCGGCAGCCCAACTTCTCCAGGTGCCGCAGGACCGTGATGTCACTGTCCGACTGCAGCGACGGAGTGGACACGCGAACGAGCACCACATCCGGGAAGGTGGTGAGCGCCTTCTGGTTCAGCTGTAGGCCTGCAATCAGAGGACAGAAGTGAGCTCTGTGGTTCAGTCCCACCAAAGGAACTGGTTCCAACAGACTCTGCAAGACTGAACCTAGCAGGAAGACAGCCCGGCAAATGGCATTGAATATCCTGTTGTAACAAGAAAGCTACGGTCAAGTCTGTGCTCCAAACAAACGGGCAGAACGTGGTCATGAGAGAACACAAAAGAATGAAGAGGGGGACAAAAGGCAGCATATCAAGAATAATCCATATTAGAAGAATCTACAAGAGATTATATAATCCAGCACCTTCCTTCCTTATAGCACTAGTAATAGCATACTATTACTAAGCCAGGACATACTGGCTTAGTGACTTAGGAGGCTGGAGACTTAATGAAAAGGGAGCACTATAGCTCACTTAAGGGATCCTTACTACTTTCACTACTTTTTTAAGTGTAATGGTTGTAGACGTAACCATTAAAAGTCTATCTGAAATATTATATAAGCATTTAAATGATTTTCATAAATATAATGAATGTGAAAATGTCAATGTTAACGGAAGAAAACAGGGTACAAAGTTATTAATACAAGTTAGAAAAAGCTAAAAGGAAATATCCCAACACTCTAACAGTGGATAATGAGATTACACATGATTTCTTATTTTATAATTATCTGTATTTTCCAAAATGTCTCCAAGTGCACATTACATTCATAACAAAAAAAACTTTAAAAAATCAATTCAATATTAAAACCAGAAGACATCCAAAGACTATTGATCCAGATAGCAAGAGGACTTGAACCTGTATTGCACTGGATAAACTGGGGGTATTTTCTTGAAGTGAGGACTTGTTAGGAGCTGCCCTGCCTGGTTTTAGGAGCTGTAACCCCCCCCCCCCCCCCCCCCGGCTAAGGCTGAGTGAGCAACCTTCAGACCAGAAGCCACTAAGGAGACAAAGCTTATCTCCCTGTCAGGGGGGTCACTTCTGCTCCTTTTACTTCACCCTGCCTGGCCCCCAATGCTTGATCGGTTAGCCAATGATGGGTAAGATTCCCCAAGGGGGGAATGACCTAAGACAGGCATGATCATGTGGAGACCCCAGGGAAGGACTTGGGGGGCTATAGCAAAAGGGGGTGATGGACCCTTGCCCCTCGGCTTTGACATAGCCTGAGTCTTCATTATGTCTGTGAGAAGTCTCCTAATCTCTTGGCTACCTTACTTCCCCTGCCTGATTTCAGCCTGAAACAATGCCTTAAGCCTGAAACAATGCTGGTGGTGGCTGCCACCCTGTATTGGAGAGGGCAGGTTCCCTAAGTTGATCAGACCTAAGAAAGCGTATGTAAAATCCTGTGAAACCTGCTTTGTTTAGAATGCTCTCAATTAAATGATAAGAGTCCGAGCAAGAAGTGAGTTTGTTCCTCAAAGTTTTATGGCTCTTTAGCTATCTGACCCTGACTCAAAATAGGCCCTCAGAGTTCTTTGTATGTTTGATTCTTACTGCCTGATAATGATTGATGAGCTTTACCTGTATTCTTGTGCAAAACGGACCCAATAAAAGCCTGTCAAGGCAAGGGTCAGGGTGTTCTCCTCTTGAGAGAGTGGCCAGGCCACTCCGAGATGCTCTCCCCTTGAGAGAGTAGCTGTGCCATCCCTTTTCCTCCACAGGACTCGGTAGTCCATGTGAATTTGTCTCATGTCTCATCCATAACGCCGAGGACACTGCAGGCCGGTGTCTGTATCAAGGACTCACAGGAACGAGAGTGTGGTCTTCAAGTACCTGTGCGGTATCTGCCGAGAAGAGCTATTTGGCTTGTCTTCTAGGACCCCGACAGATGGAGCCAGCCATGGCTGTCTATGTCTGGTTACTTCTGTACTGCCAGCCCTTAGAACAGTGCCTGGTGCATCATAGGCACTTGATGTTTGTTGAATTGTACAGAAGCTACAGGGAGACAGATTTGGGATCAGCAAAAGGGATGCTCTTCTAGTGACTTAGGATGGAATGAACCAAAGCTTAGTTGTCACTTGAGCACAACACAGAAGGAATTCAGGGGTCAGATAAGCTCACAGCAACCTGTTCGGTCTCTTCCAACCTCGATATCCTATGGTGTGTATTACTGTAGGTAGTTATCTAGGCATCTACGGTGCCCCAAGCATCTGGGGGTGGAATGCTGGAGACGTGAAAGGGGATGTGTAGAGTAAAGAGAACTGAGTTCAGGGAATAACTTTGTCTGCCTTAGAGAATCTTAAAGGGGTTTCCAAGATGCTCTAAAAAAACCTCTGAAACACAGTTTCAGAACCATCTTATAGGGTTTAACTAAAGCACCTTCTATTTCATAAGTGATATTCTGCACAAGTTCATAATTCCAAGAAAACAAAAGGTGCTAATGAAATTACTATTTCTCCATCAGGGCATGAATAATAGTAATACAAAAACAACAAGCAAAATGAAATAAAATGAAAGCAAGCAAAACAAAAACACAAAAGTACAGTATAGATCAACCTTGCACAGTTTCCCCCCATTTCCAGGAGATATTTCACCAATTTGAAAAAGGGAGTAGGTGTGATCATTAAGAGAAATTGTTTTTTGTACTTCTTCTGATAGTGTAAACCCAAGGAACTGGAATATAATTCGCATGGATGATTTATAAAGAGCATTCAGGTCATCTTCACGTTGCCATCAGAAAATAGTACCATTTACATATACCTTTTCCGTTGCCTCTTATAGGCCCTGTGGGAAATAATATGAAAGGAGAAAAAAAAAAGCAAGCCCTATATAGTATCCTCAAAATTGACAGGAGAGCAAGAAAAGTATTCGAGTTGATGCAAATGGTGAGGAAATATAGAACACTCAGGGAAAAAGCAACAGCCCAGGACAATGTTACAGAATGAGATAATATATTTTAAAAATGCTTTGAAACTATAAAATGCTGTACATAGTACGTAAGGCACTGGCATTAGCATTGCACAGACATTCTACTAAGCAAGGTAGGACAACTGATGGAGACTGGTACCACCTGATGAGAAAAATGGCTTTGCAACAGAAAAGTGAGCTAGAGAAATGAGAAGCAGCAGAGACACCTGGCTTTTAGATCCCAACACGAGACCACAGACAGACAGGTATTCTTCCAAATGCAAAGTAAAAAGAATTCAATCATTTCTGGAAATACCAACCACAAGTGGACAGAGACAGCTCAGCTTCGACAAGCAGATTCACATATACCTAGGAAGTCTTACCAGGACTTCATCTCTCTTCTCCAAAGGTAAATCTTTGGGCCTGGCTCATTCCAACTGAAGCCTTTAATAAATGAAGAATGGAATGGGTTAAAGTGTAGCTGAAATGGCTCTACCAAACAGTTAAGACAGGTCTGGGCTCTGACCATGCTGGCTGTCCAGCTCTGTGCAGAGGGACGCGGCAGGTTTAGGGATACAGTGCTCATACAACCAGTTACTTCTCTGCCCAGTGACACAGCTCCAGCATTCTTGCTTTGGGCAACTTCACTTGGCCCCTGTTCATTCCCATCCTCTGCTGTCTAAACTTAGTTTATGTCACAATTTCTAGAGGCAGTAGACAAGAGGCTGCCACTCACTGGGGCTTCAGCGGGGACAGCAGTTCCACACAGATACGACCAGGAACAACTTAGGTATAAGGCTGGCCCTTGGCAAACCCGTCAGTGAATTTTGAGACCTTCAACCACTTAAGTAATCACACTCCCTCTCTTCATGAATCTCTCTCCTGAGGAAAGGACCGGATAAACTTAATACAGGATGGACCTTAGTGTGTCACCCTCCCCAGGATCCTTACCATTTCCTCTCTAATCTACAGGCTTCAAGCCAAGAGAATTAAGAACTGATGTAAGGCCTCAGGGAGGGGAGGGCTCTGCTTGGCTGCCAGGGAATGGAAGGACACCCCTCCCCAGTGAGAGGCTCATGCCCTCAAATCACAAGGGATTTCATGAGCGTAAGAGTGGTCATGCTCTCGGGCATCACCTTGAACTAGGGAGCAGGGCAGGGTGAAGGGAGTTACTTCTGGGATATTTACTAGTCTCAATAACATTTTCTCCATATTACTTCTAAAAAGAATAATCTACTTTCATGGGTAATTATGTTCTGATTTCCTTTTGAACTCTCTATTATCTATATTTGGGAATATTTTAATGTAATAAAAACAAGATAGAAAATGCATAACTTTGCCCAAAGAACTGAGCCTATTTTCTAATCTATATATCAGATTAAGTTAAGTTAATTCTACAAAACTAGACTTCTGTATTTGTATGTACAATAGCAAAGAATTGCACTTTATAATACCAAGAAATGACTTTAGAAATAAGCAAACCATTATTGCAAAGTAGAGCTCTAAATATTAAAAGACATTCTCAAAAAAATTTTTTAATTAAAAAAAATTTTTTAAAAATTTTTTAATTAAAAAAAATTTTTTAAAAATTAAAAAATATTCTTCCTCTGGCTGGTGTGGCTCAGTGGACTGGGCTCTGGTCTGCAAACTGGAAGGTCGCAGGTTCGATTCCTGGTTGGCGCACATGCCTGGGTTGCAGGCCAGGTCCCCAGTTGGGGGTGTGTGAGAGACAACCGATCCACATTTCTTTTGCACATTTTTCTCTCCTTCTCTTTCTCCTTCCCTTCCCTTATTTCTAAAAATAGATAAATAAAATCTTTAAAAAAAAACTATTCTCAACCATTCATATCAAAGAGGGAAAAGAAGCAAGGATAATAAAAGGTGCAGTCAATAAATCCGAACCTGGCTAGCGTTTTTAATGAGCATCTGTTGTGTTTTCAGTACTTTGCTAAGAACTTTCACATTTATTATCCCATTTAAATTACAGATGTCTTGTAATATGGATCCCTGCAATAGATCTGACTGTAAAAGTTTTTGCTTTTATACAGAACTGATACACAATAGGTCACTACCCTCTCAACCTTGGCACACACAGCACTAATTTACGTGTACACACACACATCCTTAGTTTCACAAAGAAAACTTTAAAACTAAACTGGTTTTCACTCTGGCTGGTGTGGCTC